GCAAACGCTGCCAATACACGGCTGTGCTGACCCGAAACGTGCGCCTGGCGTTTCCTTGAGAGCCCGCGGGGCCGCGGCTCGCTGAGGCCTCCTGCCGCCGCTGCCCGGTAAAATTGTTTCCTTTGTTGCTCGTCTGCGCTGATACCCGCGTTTAGTCCAGGGAGATGAAAGAGATGGAGAAACGCACCGTGTGCGGAGGAAGGGACAGCTCTGTGCGGGGCCGGTCCCTGCAGGACAGAGTTCGTACGCAGCTGATGAGCTGTTTGGAGACCACGTAATCCCTTCAGTTGCAAATTATGAGTAATAAAGTGAATTGCACCGAGATTCCGACCAACATGCAGTTGCAGACAGGGAGAAGGCAGGAGCATGAACAGTGTAGGAAGGAACAGGAGAAGGCACTGCTGCATTGCAGCTCCGGTGATGCAGGCTGGGCACAGGACACGTAACTAACTCCCTGTGAAAACAGCTTGGGAGCTCCAGTCCCCAGGGTGGGCTCTGCTCTCTCAAACACACTACTATTCCCACTGCGTTTAGTAGGAAGCAAGTTCCTGCAGAACTTGCTGCTTCTCAGGAACCTGAAGTAACTGCTTTACAAGTATCCTATTCCCATAGGGACTCACGTATCATAACGAACATCTTCGCAAGTGGCTCAAACCCCAGAGCCATCATCCAAATCATTCAGATCATGGCAAGGATCTTTTGTGGGTGACGAGAGCAGTGAGACTTTACTCTTGTGTCCGAGTGGCGCATCAGGATGGCCCCATCTCCTTCAGTTTAGTTGCAGGGCTGCTGTGTTTAGGTTCTGCAACCAGCCGCTAGACAGAGCCTACATCTGCAAAGGAAAGGCAGAGAGTGCTCCTGTGTGTGAAGTGAAGCCTCCAACCACCCCCATGCTCCAGGGATTTCCTTGACACATGCAGAAGGCTCTGCTCTCTGGGTGGCTGCCTGTCAGTGCCCACACTCGGGCCTTTGGTAACTTTACAGCCAGCTGCCCGGCTATTTGCTGATCCTGTTCCGTCCTGGTGAGCTGCTTTGGAAGTCAGAGCGCAAAGGAAAGTGCCTCTGGCTGCAGACAACCACTGGCTCATCTCATCCGGGCGCTGTGGTGGGACAGGGGGGCAAAACTTGGGGGAGACTCGAATGGACACGAGCTCTTCTCACACACAGGCGGATTCCTCATGAGAGGTGAGCTGGGTGAGCACTGGAGGAGCCTGGGGCTCAGCCTGCTCTGGGGAACAGGTCCAAGTTGCTTTTGTTTGCTGCTGCTCTTCCTTCATTAGCTACAACTTTCCCAGAATAAATTCTGTTTTTTGGCTACCTCACTGGCACTTCCAGCTGTGGCTGCTATGGAGAGGATGTGAGTGAAGCTGCTGATAGGCAGCTCTTGGGAAGCTTCATCCCTCAAGGGCTCTCAGAGCCTGAATATTCCCTTGCAGGAGGCGGCTGTGCAAGAGCAGCTGCTTGGAAGATGGTGCAGGAGGCTCCGGAGCAGCTTGCCCAACTCCACTTGATGTGTCCTGACGGGCATCAACTTGCCAGCTCTGTAGGCAGAGGAGAGCTCCTGCCCTCCAGTCCTGCTGCCACTTGGAGGGGAGCTGAGAGCAAATTCCAAGCCCCCTCCCCGCCTTGCTCCCATTTTTCCCCCTGTAGGATGTGGTTGTCCTGCAGCTCTGTCCTTCCTGCAGAAGGCTTTGTAGATGCAGGTTCTCTTGAACACGCATGGCCGCGTTGCTGAAGCACAAAGAAAACAGTGCCCCGTAGTGTCAGTTTGGAGATGTCGGTTTATTGTAATAGGTGATTTGAACAGTCACATATACCAAAGCTGGGGGATGTAGAGGAGCTGTGGGCACTGCTCCCTGAGAGCTGGCTGGCCCTGTGCGGCCGGGGGAATCGTGGGGTCTGTCCCCCTGCTGGGTCTGAGCCTGCGGGAAGCCCAGGCTGGTTCCTGCAGCTGCACTGGGATCTCCTGCCAGCCCAGAAGGCAGGGAGGCTCCCTGCCCCTGGAAAGCAGCCAGAGGGGCTTCCAGCAGCTCTAGAATGAAAGGCAGAGGCAGGCGGCTAAATCCTCCCATCATCCTGCCATCTGTGTCCATCCCAGGCCACAGCAGAGCTGTCTAGACATGCCAGAGCAAAGAGGGTGGCATATGAGGGATCAGCCTGAAGGACAACGGGACACAATCCCAGCACAGAACATCAAGTTGCTTCCTGCACAGCCCCTTTCCCTTCCCAGCCCGCTGTGGCATCCTCCAGAGCTGCCAGGCAGCTCGGAGCCACGCGGGCTGCACCAGCAGCTCGGGGGCAGCTGCAGCAGCAGCACGTACTTGCTTTGCAGCTCTGCAGCAAGGCTCTGCAATCCTTATGGAGTTTGCTCTGGGTCACAGCTTCCTCCCCGCTGTGTGAGCCCTTCCCAAGCCCCCCACAAGGCAGGCAGGGAGCACAGGCCCGAGGGCACCAGCTCGTCTGGCCAGCCCTCCTGTGCACAAACGCTGCGGATCCCCGAGGCTGGGCCTCACAGCAGGAGGGACCGCAGCAGGCAGGGCAGGGGAGCGAGCCTGGGCTGCGGGCTCTGCCTGCAGGGCTGCAGCATCTCTCCTTGCTGCCCAAGGTGGGTAAATCCAGGGGTGCTGAGCCAGGTAGGAGCTGCAGAGCCGCTGTCCAGCTGCAGACACATGTGTGGGTTGTTCCCAGCAGGTAAAACCACCCCCGGTGTCTGAGCTGCCCAGTCTTGCTCTTCCCCCCCTGGGTTGGCAGCCTGACCTTTCCCACAGCCACTGGACCTTCCTACCTGCCCCCTGCAGCTGCATAGCCTCTAGCTCCCCTCCTGACAGCAGAGGAAGGAGCAGAGCAAAAAAAAGCCCCCAAAAGCCCCCAAAGCATCTTTCCAATAGCAGCAGCCTTGGGAAAGGACAGAAAATGCCCTCAACACTCACCCATCCGCTCCTTCCCCGTGGTCTGCAGGCCGGGGGTGGCTGCCAGCATCAGCCCCGCAGCACACACAGGGAGGCTGCCCACATTTACCTTCCTCGGTGCCCCCCTGCTGTCATGCTCCCAGTGGGACCTGCGGAGCTGAGAGCCAGCGCTGTTCCTCCCTCCCAGCCCCACGGCCAGCTCCGTTCAAGGACAAGGACCCAGGACTGTCACGCCTGGGGCGGCCCAGCACCAGGGCAAGGAGCAGGCAGGTTCAATCCCAGTCTCTGGGCACCAGGGGATATGGGGAACCCCAGCAGCTCCCCCTTTCTGTGAGCCCAGCCTTGGGCACGATATCCCCACAGTGCAGGCTGGGGGCCCCTCACTAAGCTCTGCCATTTAGTGTTGCTACCCAGGGAAATGCCACAGTAATAAATAAGTGTAAAAAGAGACCAATGCACCTTTTAAGCAAAGGAAAACCATGGGGAGAGTTACAACCAGAGCCTCGAGCACAGCCGAGGTGCACACCAGAGGGGCGGGCAGGGCAAGGACCCCTTCACGGGCTGGCCCCGTGAAGCCACCGGTCCCGGCAAGCCTGGCCATGCTCTTGGCTGTGCCAGGTGGCAGCTAGCGGGACAGGGGCGTCTGTTTGAGGGAGATGAGCACTGAGCGCATCCGCGAGACATCCTTGCTTTGCTTGCTGCTCTTGGGGTTGAAATCACAGAGCTGGGCCACTTTCTCCCACTCAGAGCCCGGGGCTTCCTCCTTGGACTCCTTCAGGAATGCTTCCTCCGAGGCCCTGCAGAGATGTTGAGGATTGTCACTGGCCCTTCCAAAGGGACCCTGCCCTCTGCCTGGGAATCCCTATGTCCCCATTCCCAGTCCCATCACTCCAGGCCACTTCAGCTTCCTCCAGGATTTGGAGGCCCCAAGCTGCTCAAAGCTGCTGCAGGCTGCACTCACCCAAGACACCATTCATCCAGGGGCACAGGAGTCCCTGCCTGCTCCCAGGACACTGGGGCTGTCCCCCTGGAGGCACAAACCCCCACGGCTTTGCCTCTTTGGCCAGCCCCTGTGGGGGCATTTTCAAGCGCTCCACTCACCTCCTAAGACAGCAGCACTTGGAGATGCTGCTCAGCTGGACTGGCCTCCCAGCAGGGCCCCCATGGGAGCCCCGTACCCCCCTGCACCCCTTTCCCTTGGCTGAACAGCCAGAGTGCCAGGAGGCTTGGAGCCCGGGCAGCGCGCGGTCGGCGGGAGCACATACACATAACCAATCACATCGGCGTCCGGCTGCTGGTAAAAGGCTTTGTCAGCGATCCTAGCCCCGAGGCGCAGATAGAGAGAGAGCGCGGAGCAGACAGGCAGGCAGAGGGTTAGAGAGAGAGAAACAGAGAGGGGTTAGCGTCCTCCGCAGCGCGACCAGCCCGCCACGGCACACGGAGCCCCGGGAAAACCTGCCACCGGAGATACGGCTGCACAGAAACAGAGCCCCAACCTTGCCCCGGCCTCCTCGGCGCAGCTACCGGAGCTGCTCGCGGCGCGGGCGCCTCTCCCCATGTCTGGCAGAGTGACCTCTCTGCAGGGCCAGGCTCCACGGTGGGGACAGGGATCCCCCAGGGAGACAAATATGAGTCTAGAGCAGCTCCCTCCAAGCCCCACGGCGGCCGCGCCGGCCCCCACATACCTGTTGTTCGCACGGTTCTTCTCCATCTGCTCGTTCTGACGCAGGTTCCACTCCTCCAGGTCCTTCTTGGCCTTCTCGCGCCATTCCTGTTCAGTCACCTTCGATGCCGCATCTAACACCAGGGCCAGACAAACAGACCCCATCAGACAGACGGGCACCGCTTCCCAGCAGCAAGGGATGGTTGCAGATCCACAGCCCACTAAAGTCCCCACTAAAGCACTGTCCAAAAGGCATCACTGCCTCCGAGGACACGGAGTATTGGAATGGGCATCCATACGGTGCGGGCCATCAAACACCTCTCTGAGGTGCAGCAAGGTGGCTCCAAGGTGAGGGTCCCCAAGGGCCCCAACTGCTACCTCACGAGGTGCCATGAGGGTGGCCACATCTAGCTTTGCAACTCACCCAGCTCCTCCAGCCGCTTCTTCTGTTCCTCCCTCCACTTGCGGATGCTCTCCGGCTCCTGGGTCAGCCGGTCAGCCTTGGCTATGGCTGCGTAAGCATCCGTGGGACCGTTGGACTCCTGCAGGACACAGCGGTTTTACTGCCAGCGTCAGCTTCTCCCGCACCCCCTCGGCCACCTCGAAGGGCTGACACGGCAGGACAGGGCTCTGCACTCCCAGCACTGCAGCAGGCTGGGGCAGGCGGTGGGGACGCTGACAGCCCTCCAGCAGCCTCCCCACAGCGCTGCTCAAGCTGCCACCCCGCCTGCCGGGGCGCAGGACTCACCAGCGCCCTGCCGCCTTCCGCGTCCCTGGCTCGGGGCGGAGGTGGGAGCAAACCCAGGAATTAGCATCCTGACAGGCCTGGCCACCGAAACAGCCGCGGGCACCCGAGGAAGGCAGCGCTCTGCCCGCAGAGCCGCCTGCAGCCAAGGCCTCCCTTGCGCCTCCACGCGAGCTGCCCTCCACAACCGCCCCCAACCCGGCACCCTGCTCTGCCCGTGCCCCTCTCCGAGCGCCCGCCGTGCTCCAGATGCCCAGCCCCACGCTAAGCTCGCTGATGGGATTACAGCTCGCCTCCAAGATCCCCAAATCTAATTAAGTTTGTCCCGTTTCTGATGCGATTATCTTCCTGCAAACTAAGCACGGGCAATGCACATGCCACAGTGCTTGGCACTGAGCGGGGTGAAAAGCTTGTCAGCTTGTGGCACCACTTTCCCCCCATAGCCACCACAGCTGGGCTAAGGGCTCCAGAAGGAGCCCCCCAAAGCCCCCTTAGACATGGGGCATGTGGGTTTAATGAGAGGCGCTGCTCAGGCTCTGCAGCAAGGCCACCCCCATGTGCCAGCAAAGGGGCTTCCCCCAGCAACCCTGTCCTGGCCCTGGACTCTGCTAAGAGATGCTCCCAACAGCCCCAGAGGCCTCCAGGAGCTCCCCGGGCAGGATAGAGGGTCTTTGTAGGGGACAGAGGATTTCTAGGGGTTTGTCGTCTGCTCTTAGGACACAGGGCCCCTGTGAACACTCTTAGGGCACAGCCCTGCTGTGAATACACTTGGGGCACAGTCAGAAGGGGCTCAGGCTGGCCCTGCCGGTCCCAAAGCCTCTAATTCCCAATCCTTGGCCATGGCAGGGGCACGGGACTCTTTCACAGAGGTGAGCACAGAGCAGCCAGGACTCGCTCGCATGAGACCCAGAGTCCCAGGAGCAGCAAAGCTGACAATGGCTGGAGAGCTAAGTCCAACCAGGCCCGCGATGGGCACTGAGTGCTGGCCCCATACCCACCTCGTTGCCCTGGGCACCACCGGCCAGGGCACGGGGCTGAGCTCTTACCTGAAAGACATCTCCATTGACAGTGGCTCCTCCGTTCTGGAAAGCAGCTACAGAGGAAGAAAGAGAAAAAAACAGCTATGGCAGCTGCAGCCGACCCTACAAGGGCTGCTGCTCACGAACCAGCAGCAAGGCCAGTCCTGAGGGATGAACTCGTTCCAACTTGGCATGCCCATCCACAAGAGCCCGAGACCAAAGCCCCAAGGCTGCCAGTGCCATGGACAACAGCTGAGCCACATGCCAGAGCTCAGGCAGAGGCCAGCAAGGTCTCTGCATCCAGAGGAACACACATCTCCAGCCTAAACGGCTCTACCTACTCCTAAGAGGACCCCAAATCTTTCCCTTTCCAAACAGAGCAGAGCATGACAGCACAGCCCACCCCAGAACCCTCGTCCCTGAGGACAGCAGCAAGTGTGTTGAAGTGTGTTGTCTACACTGGTGTCCAGAGTCCTAACCCAGCAAAGCCTTCCTGAGCTGCTGCTATTTGGTACCTGGGGTCTCGTCCACTCTTGAGGGTGCTCAGGGCCTGTGTCCAGGGGTCTCCTGTCCCTGGTGGGATTCAGCCTGCACCTCTCCCCCTGACATACAAGTCCCTCTGGGCATTTATGTCTTTATGGTATTTTCACTGGTGTTTTATCTTATCTGGAGATTAGCGTGACTATTCAAGACACAGGGCTGGACACAGGCAGAGATTTTGAGTGTAGAGACACAATTTGAGTAAACCCCAACCTGCACACGGCCAGGCAGAGGTCTTTATGGTATTTTCACTGGTGTTTTATCTTATCTGGAGATTAGCGTGACTATTCAAGACACAGGGCTGGACACAGGCAGAGATTTTGAGTGTAGAGACACAATTTGAGTAAACCCCAACCTGCACACGGCCAGGCAGAGGTCGCCCGTGGCACAGGAGCCGGCCGAGGGCTGTGTGCGGCACTAGCTGCAGATTGGGGCTGGGAATGAAGCGCCGCTGATGCCCACGACTCCAGCACATCCTCCCAGCACCGCAGAACACACCGAGAACTGCACGCCAACACGCCAGGCCAGCGCGGGGCACGGGCAGCGCGCGGGCACCCCGCGTTTCTGCAGCAGCCCGGGCCTCCCTGCGGCAGTGAGCCCTCGGACCACGGTATAAACAC